GACCGCTCCTTTGTCCTGCTACTTAATAGATGGCAACAGTGTTAAAAACTCAACTTTCTTCACCAGTTGTGAGGACAGCTCGACCTGAACGCTTGAGCCTTGATGGCAACTGGCGTGTGAACGGCGTGGGGCGTAATGTGTCCCATTCATTTGGGTACGGTCTACTGGACGCGGCGGGTATGGTTCGTCTCGCGCGCTCGTGGCGCACGGTGCCGCCTCAGAGACGCTGTGAGCTTGCAGCGCCGCGCCCTCAGCGTCCTGTGCCACCGAAGTCCTCTGTTGTGCTGCAGGTAAAAACTGAAACAATGTTTTCACTTGCTTTACTACTGCTAAGCATGATATGTATAATTTCCACTACAGTGACCGTGAAAAAACACCAGCCGCATTAGATCAGTTACGTTCTGAAAAGATGGTAGGGATCTGCGTAAAAGTGACTTTTGGGTTACTTTGTAGTTTCACTTTATATAGCTTGTTATTTTGGGTAAGTAAAATTAATATAACCTCTAAGTACCATGAAAGCAATCTCCCTTAAACTACCTCCTCGTTCCCAAAAAATCTTCCCATCCCCAAAAAAAACTTAAAAGGTAGCAGGATAATAAAATAAAAGGATAAAGTTTTAAATAATATTTCCGAGTACAAGTATGTTGCTTAAACAACATTCTTCAACTTTTTTGTGCGTCAATCGTGATGACATCGCGGTGGCTGCATTATTGTTGTTTATACAGCAAGGGGATGTTCGTTCACGTTACCGATTTCATTGAAGTGTTTTGTATCGGTTTTCATTCGCTTTACTACTTCAGTACTCGGTAACAGATGGTATGCGATCTCTCGTTTCGTTTTTCTGAGTATAAATCTCAGAGGAGACAACAAATGTTACTTCAAAAGTATACGATGTTCTTAATCCAAATCATTTCTTTCTGATGATAAGTGGGTTCGGCTTACTGTTGTTTATATACTTAGTTGATCTCTAACATCAATTTAATACTCTTAATCAAGGATGAGACGGACTGGAGTATTTCCAACAGTGTGGTATGATGATTTTGTTCCAGTTGGATGTAAGCGCATGTCCCGGAGTTAATTACTTGGAACACGTGCAAGCGAGAGTGTCGCTGTCAGCCGCGCGCCGAGGAGACCTCAGGATAGCACTCACCTCGCCCGCCGGCACCAGAGTCACGCTACTAGCGCCGAGGTACATCTTGTCTCTCGCTCTTCTCCAATAGGATAAAAAGGGATAGGATAACTGTCTTAGATTTTACCAATGTGTACTACTTTTTAGACATAAAAGACTACGATTATCTAAGATAGTCTTATTTTTTTGCCACTAACATGATCATTTTCTGTTCTTAATTATGAAAATCAAAGGGTCTATTACTATTAATATTTGCGTGATAGTAGCGAGAATTTATTCGTAACGTCATATTATGGATTTTGTACAAGATTTGTTGGTGTCTTTTAGGCCCGGTAGGGTTGCTGCATAAATCTAGTCCAAATTTTGTCGATGTTTACGTCAACATTCTCACAAATATACGCGATAAGACCTCCAGTGTTTCGGATTGTAACTTTAATTTTAATATCAGAATACAGAAGTAATAAATAAATAATAACTGTTTCTTCGTACAATGAGAAGCTATAAACAATGCTGATAAATTCAGTGTGACTTATACGAATTGTTGTTTGTTTATTTTATTGGAACACATTCGCTGTCGCCTGACACACGGCTATCGGCATTGTTTTACGCATTCATGGAACTATGAGAATTAATGTCATAGAAAAGGATTCAGCGAAATAAATTAAATAAAACAACGTAAATGCAAAAAGTAAATATTTCTAGAGTAATCACAATAAAAATACCGATTTACCGACAGTTAAAATCGATAATCGAAAAGGTTCATTACCGATTATGTGCCCATCACTACTGTCACCTGTCAAAATAACCAACGAATAATAGAGCGAGATAAATAATTCAGCTAGAACAAATTTAATTAATTATAAATTCTAAGTAATTCTAATTTGTTGAATTGGTTTTATACAAATAATCTAAATACACTTCAGTTAATCTGGATAAAAAGGAATTTACATAGAAATCTTACTGTTTTGATATTTTGCTCTTGATTAATGACATTACTACGCCCTACTTTGACCTTTTGTTATTTAACTTGCAAATATGAAAGATAAAAACGAACTAGACTTAAATAAAAATAGATTCTTATCGCGAAAATTCACTTTCTAGAAACTCCTATTAAAACAAAATGTTGTTGACATTTCTAAAGATAATAAGGGAACAGAATTAATACAATTATTTAGACAATAAAAATCCACTGTTGAAATCAAATGTCATTAGATAATACAAATACTTAACCTCAAAAACATAATCTTGCTTCTTACTAATATTATAAATGCGAAAGTTTAGATGGATGAATAGATGGATGTTTGTTAGAGTTTGTAGCCTAAGAGGCTGAACTGATTTTGATGAAATTTGGTATAGATGTAGAGGATAGTCTGGAAGAACACGCGAGCGAAAGCCAGTTTTACATAAAGTAATCTTCAAGATATTTTATATATTGTCATTTATACTGTAATATTCAATACCTAATAATAATCCAGTTTAGAGGAAAACACGTAATTGTTATGAAAAAGGACTATTTTAAGCCATTTAACACGTTAAGCGGTACTAATTTGTCCACATTATTAAAGAGTATAGCATTTATGTGTTAATCGTGATATTTAATTGCAGGGCGCATGATTCGTCTCGCGCGGGCTTCAATTCTTGGCCTTTTATGTCAGTCCACATGTGGGGAGAAGCCCCTTTGGGCGTCTGGCAACTGGAAGTATCTAATGAAGGTCGTTATATGGGTAAGTTATTCACTGTAAAATGTATTAAACTAACAATTGACACTTTCCATTGTTTTAAGGTGTGTTTTGATGCTATTAAATAATCTATGTATACAGTTTAACAGTGGGATGCCACTGTTTAGGTAAAATGTACAAATTCTCACTCCATCTGAATCACCTTTGACTAAATTAAATGTTTACTAGTGTTTATGCAGTGTAAACTCTTAGCAAATTAGACTCGAGAGTTAATGCTAAATTGCTGCAGTTTATGAAAATAAAATTCATACCAAAATAAATTTGACTTGTTAAAATATTAAATTTGTTAAAAGCTTCAACTGGTTTCGTTAAGCTGGACAATGCGGCCGAGTGTGAGTGGCCAGTTTTAATTTATGTTCCAACTAAATTCTAAATTACAATTTCCTTCAAATATCTACAGTTTATTCTGTTAATTATTATTACTCGAACGACTCAATTTCATCATTTTGGCCTTTCATTATAATTACATAAAAGATTTGTAGAAAAATTTTTATTTCGTACGCTAATATTGTGTCAATTTCAAACACTGAACTGTGTATTAAAATATCAAAGAAATGTTATTTTTAGAAGAAAAACGTTCTGTAGATTAGTTGAATTTTCTTGTAAACTAACTGTCACATTCAGGGTCGGTAAACAATCACTAAGGGACACTCTTAGTGTAGATACAGACTCTGTGTACGACAGTAAGTAAGTTGACAACATTTCGATGTATAGGTCGTGCGACTTTACAAGAGTGGT